TTCATTTGTACTTGAGTTTCTCCCTAATCAAGAATTTACCCTATAATCACTCTCTCTCTCTCTCTCCATCAGTACTCACAATGCACGGTGAGTCTGGTAGAGTCTGTGGCAGTGAGGTGCGGCAGTGTGGGTGCGGCGGCGCGGCACTCCAGCAGACCTCCGTCGTCGCCAGCAGTAGCCAGCAGACTCAGCTCAGATACCGTAGAGTCCAGCCCAAGACTCTGCTGTGATGGGAGATGTTTGTTAGCTCACCCCAGACTGTTGTAGTGTATTAACTCACCCCAGACTCTGCTTTAATACGTTGAAATGTGCGTTAGGAGAGAAGGGGAGAGGTAATTAACTAAAGGGAAGGACTTAAGTCTGAGTAGGTATGAGAAAGCGTAGGAGACAGTAATTAAAATTGCCGAAACTACTCATAAATCATAACACATCGTTCCCAATAATCAAACAACACCACAGAGAAAAAATACAAATTAATATATACATCACAGGAGTATTATTACAGTATAGATGGTCTCAATAACACACAGAATAGACAAGTCTTTAAAGTTTGTATTACCTATATCTAAAACTCCATCAACAGATACCCGTTTAGCGTCAGAAGCAGGTGCCAGGTGATAATTGGAAACTCATTTATGGCAGGGAAACATTGACTTGATTATTGCACTGTGTTAGCGAACAATAACCAGTTTGTAAAGCAATGTCGAGGGTGAGAATTAAGAGCGTGTTGTGTGTCAGGTGAGAGTTTCTTGGTGAGAAATAGGAACTGTGAACATTGTGTTGATGGGAAAGATGAGACTTGATTAGATGGGGCGGGGTGCTAGTAGAGAGGCCCTGTAGGGGAGGCGGGCACTACAAGTGAGGGAGGTACTACAGGTGAGGGGTGGCACTACAGGTGAGGGGTGGCACTACAGGTGAGGGAGGCACTACAGGTGGGGGGAGGCACTTCAGGTGAGGGAGGCACTACAGGTGGGGGGAGGCACTTCAGGTGAGGGAGGCACTACAGGTGGGGGGAGGCACTTCAGGTGAGGGAGGCACTACAGGTGGGGGGAGGCACTTCAGGTGAGGGAGGCATTACAGGTGGGGGGAGGCACTTCAGGTGAGGGAGGCACTACAGGTGAAGGAGACACCTACCACATGGATGTCATGGGTGAGGTGTTGTCCTCTGAGCCACCAGGTAAGGACAGGTGGGGGTCTGACTCCTGAAGCTTCACACTTTATGTTATACGGGTGGCCTCCTGACAGCTTCTCCTTAGGGGCATGCAACGACACCTGCAGCTCAGAGTCTGGAAAGGAAATCAAGACAGAATAGCGTAAGGTAATGCACATATAAACCTCCAACTGTGTGAGGGTTTAGGGTCAAGAATAAGATGGATTAGCGTAAGATAATGCGTTTGTATACAGTTATTATGTGTATAGAGGAGGGAGAAGGGAGCGTGTGAGGGCTTGGTCCACATGTATTTGGATTCACTATTTAACTATACAGTACATTCGTATACACTTTACACACACACACACACACACACACACACACACACACACACACACACACACACACACACACACACCAAGTTAATAGGCTAAAATTTTCAACCAAACGCAAAATGTCTCTTATTCAGCTTCGTATAGGTTGGGTGAATCAAGGCAGAATAAAGGAAGAAAAACCATCATCAGTAGGAAATTTGTTGTGGCCTTTGACCCTTAAAATATGACTCTAATTCTATCTCAATATATTCCATGCTAAACAATAAAATAAATCCCGTAACAAAAGATAATAATAACACGAGACTTGAGTATAAATATAATCTTCTATACACTTAAAACTCTTACCTACAGCCATGAATAAATGAGAAAATTATCCCCCACATATTGCTGCCATAAACAGCGCCAGACACCAGCTGCTCTAGTAAGGTTATATCCTACACCTGTTTTGTAAATGGAACAATAAGCTGCCGTCGACCTGGAATTATGTGTTGTTTATTTCCATGTTGATCACCAGGTCAGGCTGTAGGGATACGGACCTATGAATTATGGATACTGTTTTTCATGGTTTATTTGTTTTGACGTGAAAGCAGTGTTGATGGCTGCAGGTAATTTAATTATATTATCTATATTTAGAACCCGACCAAGAGAGATATTTAGCGTGTGTTGTGTTTTATATTTTTTATTTTCTGTGCATAATTATAACATTACGGGTATAAATACTTTGGTGTGTATTATTAAAACTCCTCCTCTGTTCTCTCACTTGGGGGGTAGAAGAGACAATACCTTGAGAGATAAAGAGAGAGAAGTTGTTAATGAGGTTATCAGGAAGGTAATACAAACACCTGTACTTGAGGAAGTTGTACCCTGATGTGCACCGTGGATATATTATGATGAATAAAAGTAATACTCGTGCTTTAGTGGAGGAGGGATTGTTTGTTAGTTCAGTGAGTGATGTTTATTGTCAATTACTAAATCACGCATAGAGCCCCTGACGCAGCTAGATCTGACTTAAGGTTATTTATATTTAATGTGATTTAGTTTAAGAAGATCATTTTAAGTGGATTTGGCAGATTGGGACAGCCTTATTTTCCGTCAATGACTGACTGACTGACTGACTGACTGACTGACTGACTGACACCACAAAGAAAAGTTTCACACCTAGCTCCCTTAGCATGACGGAGGCACTTAGTGAAGCCAGAGCAGGTGTGTTGGCCGCCTTGCAGGTAAGGTTTTGGGTGAGGTGGGCACTGCTGACGCTCGCCAGACGAAGGGTGTTAGTGGCGTAAGCTGCTGTGGGTGTGACCGTGGGCGTGGCTGTTGACTTGACGCCCTCTTGGTGCTCCTCTACCTCTTTGTCCAGCATTGTTGACCCCGACCACCAGGTGACGTTGGGTAGTGGCTTACCTGAGGTGGAGAGGGAGTGAGAGATAACGTAAGGCGTTTGAACTCTCTCACACACACACACACACACACACACACACACACACACACACACACACACACACACACGTACCTCCTGTGGCCCTGCAGGAGAGGGTGAGGGGTTGGCCCTCCTGTACGGCCGCCACGTCGTCCACCAGAGCTCCTCCGGGACCGTAGATACGTAGCTGCTGGGGCAGGTCTGTGAGGGAGACACCGTGCCTCTTATAACACCAGTACACCGTGACCTTACGAAATGAATCTTAAAAAAAGCAAGTGTGATTATAAATGGACCATAAGACTGCGAGAAGGGGTGGGGAAGAAGAGAAAGGAAGAAGAGAAAGGGAAAAGAAAAGGGAAGAAGAGAAAGGGAAAAGAGAAAGGGAATAAGAAAAGGGAAGAAGAGAAAGAGAAAAACTGGAAGAGAAGCAGCAAAAGGAAAGAAGAGACAAGAAAAAAGAGAAAGGGAAGAAGAGAAAGAGAAGAAGAAAAAGGAAAGAAGGGAAAAAGAAAAACAGGAAGAGAAGAAGCAAAAGAAAAGAAGAGACAGGGAAGACGAGAAAAAAGAACGAAGAAGGTTCAAGGCAGGAAGTCAGCCACCAGCCTCAGCTCCCCAGGGCAAGGTGATGTGTCCCAGGTCTCGGGGCATGACCGTGTTATCCGCGAGATATAGTTACACTGTGCTACCTGCCTCTCCTCCTCCTCCTGCTCCTCCTCTTCTTCTTCCTCCTGCTCCTCTTCTTCTTCCTCCTCCTCCTCCTGCTCCTCCTCTTCTTCTTCCTCCTCCTCCTCCTGCTCCTCCTCTTCTTCTTCCTCCTACTCCTCTTCTTCTTCCTCCTTCTGCTCCTCCTCCTGCTCCTCCTGCTCCTCTTCTTCTTCTTCCTCCTCCTGCTCCTCCTCCTGCTCCTCCTGCTCCTCTTCTTCTTCTTCCTCCTCCTCCTCCACCTCCTCCTCCTCCTCCTACTAATACTACTACTACTACTACTACTACTACTACTATCGTACTATTACTACCACTACTACGCCATCTATGCACGATGAGGATACACACACATACTGCCATGAAGATAAAAATACTACTCTCCAAAATATCACGTCTATTACTAAAGTGAGACATCAACACAAGGGGGAAAAGGGAGGAAGATTGAAAAACTTTGGAAAAAGATTAATGACCCGACCTCCAAAATAGAGCCTTTCAACGAGACTCAATGGAAGGATGTTAAAAGTTATGACACCACATGTACACTGACCACAAGGGAGAAGCAAAGTTTGGAGAGAAATTTGAAGGTATAATAGTATATATCTACAAACTTTGAAGGTTGAGAAAGTGACCGAAATGAGAAATCCTAAAAAAAAAAAAAACGGTAGAGAAAAAATGTGATGAGAATACGTATTTAACTTTTAATATTCCCTCGTCGTTCTTTTAAGACACAGAGCTTATGCATAATTCAGAGAACTTAAAGGAATACTGAGGAAATTATTCTTTCAGTATATCATGAAAACCTAGACCAAGTGACAAGAAAACACTAAATAAGTCCAGGACAAAGAAAACGTAAAGGAATGACAAAGAGAACCAAAACTTTTGACAATATGAAATGAAAAGAAATTTACGAGAAGAGATGAATTATTTTAATGGGAATAAATACATAGATATAAAATAAAGAACATCTCAGTATACGATGAAAGGAGTTAAAAGAAATTATAAAAGTTTATTATTTAGTAATGAAGAATACTAAGTGAAATGACAAGAACCAGGTAATTGTTTGAGCATAAGATGAAAGAGAAATTACCTTTGAGCTCACAGAGAGTTTTGGATTTGGGTCAACGGCAGGAGAGGCGGGGGGAGATATTACTTTTGTGGATGTGGATGTGGATGTTATATATATATTCCATTCAGTGCTGTTATATTGTACGTTTTTAGTGTTTTGTATGAGGAAAATGTTAGGGTAGGTTGATTTAGGTTTAGTGAGGTTAAGTGAGATTAGGTTTGGTTTGGTTAGATTAGGTTAGGTTAGGTTAGGTTAGGTTAGGTTAGGTTAGGTTAGGTTAGGTTAAGCCCTACAACTTCTATATGGTAACACATTAGAAGACTTTCCCTACTCTACATTACCCCAAAATTGTCTGTAATATGTACCAAGAGAAAACAATCTGAATGTGTTTTGTTTTCTGGGATGCTGCGATCGGGAACAGTTTTCTGATAGCGTAATCGTAAGAAGAAAGAATATATTTTTATTTTTATCTTTAATTTATCTATATTATAAAGAAACCACAACAGAAAAGACCCCCATGAACATTAAATACACTGACATAATAACAGTGCATTAATTTTATTTCTTTTAACCTTTAGTTCATGAGAGACTAACGTAATTACTAACCATACAACGCACTTTAAAGACCATAGTTGTTGAAGCGCAGTAATAACTTTATAACGTCACCAACTAATTGCTTCTGCATCATCGACTCAGGTGTACAGGTAAAGGTATAAAGTTTCATCATTGGCCACTGAGATTTTTGTATCCATGGTATAGTTTTTTTTATTGTTTATATACTCAGAGATTCCTGGCTGGTCTTCACTTGAGTATTAAACCTTTACTAGAGTACTTAACCTTTACTAGAGAACAGAACATTTACTCGAGTACTAAATCTTCCCTCGAGTATTAGACCTTCAATCAAGCACGAATTTTTCACTTGAGTAGCAAACCTTCACTAGAGTACTAAACCTTCACTAGAGTACTAAATCTTCACTCTAGTACCTAACTTCTACTCGAGTACTAAACCATTCCTTGAGTACTAAACCATCCCTTGAGTAATAAACCTTGACTCAAACACTACACACACACACAAACTTATGACAGCAATCCACTCTCAGTAAACACAACTAAACTCCCCCTCTAACAAGTCCAAACACCCAATTACCTTACTAACTACAATAACAACCATCAAAAACTTCTACACTTACTCTTCAATAACAACTACTATAAATATTCCTCTATGTTATTTATTAGTTATTTAATCACTAATAAAAACTGATACAATTTCTCCTCTTATTACACAACTAATCTGACCAGAAAGCATGTAAGAGTCAAATGGCAGCTCATCTTTCAGTCATATATAATTTCTAGTTAACATCCAGGGGGTGGTAAGAGGAGGGTGTTGGATTCCACTCAGTAAGATCGTTAGGGTGTTGAATCCAAGTAATCCGCTAGAGCCTTAAGTCCACCGAAGAGGATCTGATACGCCAGCGAGGTATCTTTACCGTAGGAAATTATCGTGTGTGTGTGAATGTATGATGTATTGGTTCATGTGGTAATGTTGTGTATTATTTTGTATGAGGGGAATGATGATGAGGTGTTGTTAAACATACATCATACATATTGATCTACAGTGAATTAATACACACACACACACACACACACACACACACACACACACACACAGTACCTACAGGTAGATAAATTACTCATATTTAGATCTACAGTGACAGACATACACACACGTATATATACCCCGCCTTCATACATCTTACAGCAGGTAAAAACGGCATAAAGTTATACTAATCAGATTATTCCTTCCCTTTTTTTTCAGCGACGTTTATTAATCAAAACATTTCATATTCTCCACGAGTGAAAAATTTCTATGTAAGAAAAAAAAAACGAACTTAATAGCGAAATCTCTCTGAAGACTTTACTAACAAGACATTAATTCCAAAGAGAGTATTTTCTAAGGAATATAAACCCTTCCTTCGCTTATCTCGCTTATCAGGGATTAATGGACTTTGTAGCTGCATCTCCTGTATAAGCGGATATCAAATTTCCTTTTCGTGTGGATTCATTATTCACGGAGGATTTTACTGAACGGATATAAATAGACTCGGATAGTGTCTGACAACACGATGTATTCAGGTGAAAGTGTTGGAAGTGTTAAGATTCATTATTGTGTAGTGTGGGTTGGTGAGATGGTGGTGGTGGTGAATACTGTGGCGTTGATGGTGGGGTAGTGGTGGTAATAGTGGCAGTGGCATAGGTGGAAATGATAGTAGCAGGGGTGGTAGTGGCAGTAATGGTGATGGGTGGTAGTGGCAGTAATGGTGATGGGTGGTAGTGGCGAGGTGGCAGGGGTGATAGTGGTGGTAGTAGTAGTAGTAGTGGTGAGATGAGTGGTGATAGTTGTGGTAGTAGTGGTGAGAGGGAGGTAGTGAAGGATGGACACTATAATGTGAAGGGTGACAAAGAGATGGGGGGGGGATCACTGAACCAAATATGTGCTGGGTTACACAGCGTTAAGGGTTCCCTCCCCCTCCCCCGACCCCCTGAGTATGGCGGAGCAGCATGTGTGTGGATGTGTCCGTCTTTCTTTATATCTTTTCTTATCCTATTTACTTACTTTCTGTCTTTCTCTGTTCCATCCATTAGTGTTTTCTGTCTATCTATTTTCTCTTTCTTTCTTTCTTTCTTTCTTTCTTTCTTTCTCGTTCTATAGTTTCTTCACTCACTCTCTATTTTTTCATTCTATCGATTTTTAGTGTCTCCCTCTTTCGTTTCATCAATTTTTCTTTTCTCTATATCCCTCTCTCCCGCCTCTCTATCTCTCTCCCTCCCTCTCTCTCCTCTCATTTTCTCTTTCTATTCCCCTTTTCTTTATCTCTCTTATCTCTCTGCAGTATAAACATGAGGGGCGATCTGGGCGTTGTCCGAGGTTGATGATTGAAGTGGAGGTAACAGTGATAATCTGAGAGAGAGAGAGAGAGAGAGAGAGAGAGAGAGAGAGAGAGAGAGAGAGAGAGAGAGAGAGAGAGAGAGGACTGGAAGTCAAGGCGACAGCGGTATTCGCCCTGGTCGCTAAACTGCACCTCCCTCACCACCAGCGCCCAGCTCCACCACCGCTGCTCCTGGTCAATCCTCCCGCGACCCTGGAAGAAATCTGAGGCCCTGGTGCTCCCACTCCCCTTCTGCTGGTGTCGTAAGTCCACGCTGTGAGGGGAGGCAAGGGAGGTATTGGTTGTGGTGTGTTAATATTCAGCATTGGTTGCCACGTAAAATGCACAGATGTAGATCATGGGAAATATATGATACTTCCTGAATTTGAGTATATCCAAAATGTGAGAGTTGAGGTTATATATTCAGAGGGAGAGACATATACAAAGCATTAATTCAACGTAAGTGTTATCAAAGCCGACACTGTAATATACCAAATGGGTCGGTAATATATTGAAACCTGATAGTGGCAATAACAATCTAAAACTTCAATGTTTTTATTTGGTAAATAGACGTGATACTATATGTTCTTATTTTCAGTAATGGTAGACATTTTTAAAACATACAGGATATTAAAAAAAGAAGCTTATAATCATAAAAACCACATATATTTATAAAACCGAGAGATAAAAACCACGACAACACCTGTTTCTTGAGACACTTGTAACTCACCTGAACACCGGGGTCTTTGTGCCATTCTTGTACCAGAGGACCAGTATAACAGGCTCCTCAGGGGCTGAAGTCAAGTTACACGGTAGTCGAGTAGTCTGTCCCCGCACAGCGTATACAGCCACCAGTGGTGCTGTGAGAACACGACAACACACACATTAATGAGTTGATTATACCACTACCCTTCTCCATCACCCCTCTCAGTGCTGTAGGGTATCGTCTTCACCTACACGTCATAACCACGAAAAGATTATTATGGTAAGGCAAGACTTAGGGCGAGGTAATCAGAGAGGTGTGTGAGTAAGGTGACCCGCGGAGCTAGTAATGATGTCAGATACACCGGGTACAAGAAGAAGGCGAAGGGGGAGGGGAAGGGGGAAGGGGTAAGTGGAGATTTAGAGGGCTATGTGGGTAGAGGAGAGAGAGGAAGCTCGAGAAAGAGAGAAGAAAGAGAGATACGGATAGAGACACAGAGAAGAGGTGGCGAGGATGTCGATGGGAAAACAGAGGAAGGAGGAGGTGTAGAGACGAGAATGAAAGAGACTATAGAGGCATTACAATAACGCATAACGAAGTAAATACAAATTATGATACAAATATATAAAAGTAGGTAAGAGAAACAGGGAAAATGTGGAGTAACGAAGGAAAGAAAGAAAGGGAATTGGAGAAATCAGACAAAGACACCCATGTAATCCAGAGAACCATGAACCATTGAAATTTTAATCACGATTGCCAGTACGTTTTGCATTTCACTCATTTTCACGTCATTAAATATAATATAAACACTCCTCTTCACGTACACAACACGTACAGAATCGAATAGTAATAACAAGTTAACTATAAACCTTAATGTGACCACTGAAAGGAGAGGGGGCGAGAATCACTCATATAAACGTTGTCAATATAACACAAAGACTCGAAGTAGTGTTTGTTGGTGAGTGAGTGTCGTTGTTTCATATCCGCCAGTAAGTGACTTTAAGATATACTCAGTTACAGAAAAATAATAATAATAGTTAATATTATTATCTTTATTACAAAACGGAAAGAAGTAATGCAAAGTCATATTATTACACAAACACCCGCAACAGACAAGTCTTGCTAAATATAACCTATTAAAGCTCACCTCCCTCGTTTACCTACCACAGTAGTGTTATCATCAGGGCCTGCAGGAGGGAGGAGGGAGAGGTGGGGATGCAGAAAAAGAAAGAAATGAAGAGAGAAATTCTGAACAAAATGCGATGGAGATAGAGACGAAGGAAGACCCAGGAAAACGAGAGAGGTGGTCGGTCACTACCAGGTACACACGGTCCTCGAGGCCTTGTGGAATGGTGCCATCGAGCCGAGGAGAGGCGGGCACGGCACTCATGATGACACCGGGAGAAAGACACACACGAGATGGGAACTGACTCACGCTGAGGTGAAGAAGATCGTCCAGGTGATCAGGTAGAGACCCAAGGAGAGCGGGTCCTCGGATTACATTGTAGGATAGAGACTCCGCATGTGAGGGAGATATTTACAAGCGGGCAGAAAGGAGAGGGTGCATCCCATGATAGGTTTTTGGACAAAGGGGGCAGAACAAACACCCACAACGACCAGTACTAAAACTTTTCAATAATCATTTTTCCTCGAGTTGACATCTTTTATGTATGGTGTTTTTTTTCCGTGGTGAGTATACTTACAGGAGGGTGGTTGATAATATATATATACAGTATATATATATTATCAACCACCCTCCTGTAAGTTTATCTTCTGTCGCTAATTATCTAGTTATTTTCCAAGTTTCCCCGAAGCAAAAAAACAAACAAACTTTTGTTATGGTCACGAGAAGTGCTGAGAGTGTGAGAGATGAGGGGGAGGAGAAGAGTGGAGAGGAAGAGAAAGGAGAGGCTAGGAGAAGAGAGAAGAGCAGAGGAGAAGGTCATCACCAAGGGCGTCATTAACACCCTGGGGGGACTTGACTAGTTATTAACTCGCGTCATCACTCCTCCTGACATCCTCCCCAATTAGACAACTTAATTACCCTGTTCCCTCAAGACCCCGGCCACTTTGTGATCACAGGTGCTGAGGGGCAGACCAAGGCTTATAACTCTCTAATTTTAATGATTTGTGAAGTGTAATTAGTGACCGCAGGCCCCCGTCTCCTTAATATACTCGGCGGCAATGTTACGTTAAGAAGGACGGTTTATCTTACCCTGCCATGCACCTTTACTGAACCTGCTGGGTGTTTGGGTGAGTTGGTGGGTGTGTGGAAGAGGATGATATCACAAGTCTCGGCTACAAGGACGCCACAACATCATCCAATAATAAACTAAAAATTACCTTCCACTGGACATTTTACAGTTAGTTGTGGTACTTCAAAGACGAGTTCCCTTTCATTAGGTCGACTCCCTCTGACTCACGACAACCAAACTACCTCTCCGTAATCCACTGCCAAGCCTCGTGTTGTATGACTGTTTGGTGTCAACGATATAATAATAAAAAATAGCAAATTATAACCAAAAAGATTATATTTTGGTAATTTAGTACATGAAAGGTGGATACTTTTTTTTAACAAAGAAAGTTCTCACAACACGAAGATATAAAATTACATGGAGTAATTTTACCGTCAACCAACACCCTCTTCCCTCTTCCTGTACCTTTTCTTTAAGGTGTCATAATACCACTGGCATAATTAAGTGTAAATAACGATCTAAGGTATATTTAAGATAAGCTGAACACTTCACAGGTAAATTTCTTTTAAGACTCTCCCTTTATAGGATCAACACGCATACAATTATATACCCAGTCTCCCACCCTCAGCCTCTGCTCTTATTTAAGACGCCATAACACCAGTGGAAAAAAGAAGAGAGAGAGAGAGAAAAAAAAATCACAAATTGCTTCACTATCGCAGTTGCCACGAGGAAAATTAAATATCTTGGAGGAACAATAAACTGCTGGCGTTACGATGTAAGTTTTTTTTATCCTTGACTGAAGGTTAACACGCCCAGTGACCAAAGTTGTTAGCGAGATGTGGTAAGACGGCCATTATCCAGTTCACGAGTGGTACTACACCTTCCGCCTCCGTCACCAGGTCTCTCTCTCTCTCTCTCGTGTCACCCACAATTGGTTTTGGTATTTTTATAATTTAGTTTAATTTGATGTATTTCGTGTGGGTTTTTTTTATGGATTTTAATTGGAGGTGATATCCCATGTTCTGTAGTGTTTGGATATATTAACCTTTATTATTATTATTATTATTATTATTATAGTATCGTAAATATATGACCTCAATTGAAACATAAAAGGCAACTATATTAATAAGGATTAAACCATCTTTCTCAAAGGGTTTAATCATCATCCTCAATAAGATTTAATGATAGAGGTCGTTTGAGGGAAGTAACAATTGCTGATGACTTGCAGAAAATTTCTTCCTTCATTATAACCTAATTTCACGCACCTGTAGATACACTCACCTGTTGGATTAATTAATTATATATTGTTATAAGAAACTTACTATATACTACTCACTCCCACAACATGACACAGCATTATATCACAGGCTACAATACGCTAACAATACTTAACTGTACTTATGTGATTATTAGACAGTGTTATTATAATGTAAAATGAACATGTGGTTATAATTATACTCGTATATAAGGCTACTATATCAGTGTTCTTATAGATACTGATGAAGAATATCGGATTTTTTTTTATTTCACGTAAGTCTAATTAGGAAAAGTCCTTAGATTGGCAGACAGACAGACAGACAGATAGACAGACAGACAGACAGACAGATACAGACAGACAGACAGACAGACAGACAGACAGACAGACAGACAGACAGACAGACAGACAGACAGACAGACAGATAGATAGATAGATAGATAGATAGATAGATAGATAGATAAATAGATAGATAAATATTAATATATTCAGTGAAATTACCATACAAGTTTACATTGCTACATAGACATTACAGGTAAACAAAAGACTACAGGTATACAAACAATAGTAAACTATGAGGTAATTTAACCCAAGATAACGAACAAATCCATCATGTGTTAATTTCCTATAGCGTATACCTATCATTCATTAATGGAATAAAAAAAAAAAACCACCTCCACACACTGCTCTAATTTTAGGGTTAACTGTTTATATTCACCGAGGAAAAAGTGCGATGCTGAGTAAATTTTCTGGTGAGGACATAACAGCCAGACGCCCTCCCACTCCCTGACGCCTCGTAATATTCCTGCGAAGTAAATGATGTGTTTTTTTTTTCTTTTTTTTTTCATATACAGGGAAGTGTTTTAACTCCTTTAGTACGAGATTAAACCCTTGAGTACGATGACCTTAAGCAATGAGTACGATGGTACTTCCTTGAGTACGTTGGTATTAACCCATTTAGTACGATGGTATTAACTCCTAGAGTACGATGGCCTTAACCCCTTGAGTAAGAGGACCTTATCCCATTGAGTACTAAGACCTTACAGTCAACGTATTCAAAGATTAAAATCACTGTACTCAAAGGGCTAGTGTTATCGAACTCAATGAGTTAAGGCCATTCTACTCAAGGGGTTAATGCCATCGTACTCAAGGGGTTAAAGCAGTTTTAGGGTAAGATAGGTGAGGTCTCGTGCTTACCTACATTAAGGGCTAAACTAGGGGGTGTTTAGAGAAGGGTAAGTAGTTTAGTACCAGCGTTAATTAGTGGTAGAATTGGTAATATAATTTCATGATTACGTTGAGGAGGGTAACGAGGTTGGATAAGAATTATTTTACTTACCTTAACCTTGGTAAAAACGATACAATCCAGACTTAACATCATGCAACAGATTAACCCATAATAAATACTCAAACATCCATTAACGAATTCTTCTTAACTTTTAGCATAAAAAAAAAGATTTTGTACATTCTGCTGTCATCAATCTGCAATATATATTTGTAAATATGAATTCTCTACGACTAGCAATGTACGTACGTTAATTTTCCCATGAAACTGAAATAAAATCACAAATTCCCGAGTTGAAAAGATATTATGGTCCTGAACGTCCTTATTTAATATATATGGCAGACACCTGACTTTACCTGATGATCGAGCACGTTTACTTCATCTCAGGACGCGACACAGACAAGCCCTCCATCCGCCTCGAT